GTAAGGTGGGCAGTTTGAAGCCACCGTCTGCTCTGTGGAAGATGTGACAGTCTGCTTGTACGGAGATTGGAAATGCTATGGGATAGTTCTGGTCTGTTCTCTAGGATCCCTACAAGCTACGGCTGAGCTGATAGTAATGGATGTTATTGTTAGAATAACTGTCATAGTTTCCTAAAGCAACAAACAAAACTATCATCATCCAGCAGAGGCCAGACATTGGTAATAATGAAGTAATAGTTGTTCATATTAAAATGAGTGATATTGTAGGAGGCTCTACTTACTTCCAGGGGGATTCTGAATTCATCGGCTTCCTTTCCATAAGCTGATGAACTCAGCATCCCTATTCACATGTTATAGGTAATGCCACTTCAGACGTTTTCTTAGATTTCATTATAAGGTGAATCGCCATTGTCTTTTACTGTGGTCTTTATTAAACCTTTCCAAAGTAACAAAAATGAGATTACAGGCTGAAAAATAATTCACTAGAGTGCCTCCTTCTCTTGCCATCATAAAAGACATATGTATAGATAGACACATTGTACATGCATATAGGGGCCACAGTACTTGCATTTTTTCTGTCTGGCTTGGGTCTTGAACCCAGCTGATGCCAGTTCTGTTTCCTAAACACATCTCTACACTGTGGACATTTAATGTCTTTGGTACCCAGCACCTAGAACCCCAGCCAAGAAATCAAAAGACGTGTTGCCGTGTACAAATAGGCTGTCAAAGACTTATTAAACTGACCCAGAAGCATTTTAAAGAAGTATTTTACAGCCATGGTAGTTTCAATTACTTCTTATCTATTTCAGCATCAGACAATGAAGAAGACCAAAGAATTGACACCTTTGAACTGTGGTGTTGGTGAAGAGTGCTGAATTTCCTGTGGGCTGCCGAAAGAACAAATAGGTCTTTAAAAAAGAATATCTTGAGGGCTTCTTAAAGATATGTATGGTGAAACTTTGTCTCACATACTTTGGACCTGTTATTCGAAGCACCAGTCTTTGGGGGGGGAAAATACATCGTGCTAGGAAAATATAGAGGGTTAGCAAGAGAGGAAAAGACCCTCAATGAATGAGATGGATTGACAGAGACTCCAACGCTGGACTTGGGCATGGAGGGCAGGGTGAGGGTGGTGTAGCCCCTTGGTTTGTTCACAGGTTTCAGACAAATGGGAGCTGTAGTTGCCTCATCAGCACATAGCAACAACATCAGCACCTGCTTTACAACAATGTCACTCTCCTCTAGCTGATTGCCTCCTTCCTTCTCTTGAGTTGTGTGGGTTTAGTGGGCATGAACCTTACTGCTAGTTCCAATTATGGGCCTCAAAGTCTCCAGCCAATCAAGGAATCAGTCCTCTACTCCAAGTTTCTGGAGTCATTGGTTTGGTGATGAGTATGCCAACACTTAGAACCAGTGAGACTCAGATGACTCAGGATGTCTTCTGGGAAGTTTTCCCATCCCTTTTATGTCTTTATATCCAGCAATACCTTTTTTTTCAGCTGATTAAGACTCATAGGGAACTTGCAGGGGAGAACAGAAGGGCCTTTCAGGGTTTTCAAGGCTGTAAATCTTCATGGAAGTGGACTGCCTCGTCCAGTTTCTACAGAGCAGCTGATGGACTCTAGTTCCTGACCCGCTGGTTAGTAGTGAAAGCTCTAATGGCTCCATCACCAGGGCTTCTCATATCCAGAGAAGAACCACTCTTTTTCTATAGACTGTGATGTTGTTGCTGTGGGCTGTTAGGTTGGAACCAACTCATAGCTAACCCTTTGGTGGGTTTTCAGAGGCTGTAGCTCACACAGGAGGAGATGGCCTTTCTCTCATGGGGCAGCTGGTAGATTCAAACTAAATGTCTTTGTGTTGGCAGCATAACCCCTTACCATCGGGCCACTAGAGCCTCCTATAGATTGTGACAGAATACTGTAAGGTCTGAAGAGGAAGCTATGCAGCATCTGAAGTTAAAGACAGATCACAGAGCCAGCCTGAGGGGAGAGACAGAGAGAGACTGGAATCCTAAGGACCTGATTAGAATTTATTAGTCAAATCTCACTGTAAGCAAACACAATCGGAACTCCTCTCTAGTCAGTTCAGACTCACAGCCGTTCTCTGTCTCAGAGCAGAACTATGTTTTGTAGGGTTTTCAGTGGCTGACTTCTCAGAAGCAGTCCCCTCCCCCAGTCCCTTCTTCTGCCATGTCTCTGGGTGGACCCAAACCACTGAGCAACTATTTGCACCATCCAAGGACTCTAGTAATAGAGTCAAAACCTTTCTTTTAATGTTTAAATCAGTCTGAAGTGTGTTTTCTATTGCTTTTAACTAATTAGAGCCATAACTAATGCTGGTAAAATATCTTGGGCTGAATAGGGCAGAATTTGTTTTCCCAAGAGCATCATGGTGTGACCATCCCATAATGAATGGGAAAGGAAGCAGACCAAGGCCAGACAATCGACTAGTTAGCCAAGTGAGAAATCCAAAGATGATGCCCATTGTGGTACCAAGCAGGGAAGTATAAGGACTCAGAGAGCTTAGAAATTAGAGGTTCCTCCTCAAACATCCATCCTAAAGATGACAGCCTGAGTTAGTACTACCGTTTTCAATAAGTAGCTGAAGAGTAACCAAGTATTGATGAATTAGAGACAGCTTGAGTCTCAGAGTCGGTCAGTAACGCAATTATGAAAAGTTTCTCCTTCAGGAAGAAACTGATGGTTCATAAGAACTCAGGGAGCTCTGCTAATGTATGTCATAGAGGACTGTCCTAACTCAAAGCTCTTGCCTTTCTGGTGGTTCAAATTCACCAGAAAGATGGGAAACCTTCTCTCATGAGATTAACAACCTTGGAAATGCAGTGGAGTAATCAATCAGTTTCAAGTTGAGATTGATTTCCTCTTTAGGGGGGAAAAGGGATTCTACTTTGAATAGAGATAAATTCAATTTTACTTCGAAAAAAAATCTTAGGACTAAGCATCTTCTTTTTCTGGTTATTTTCTTCAGTGGATGCAAAAGAACGGAAAACTGGTGTCGTAAATAGGCACTCTATTTGCACAGGGATTTCTGGTGGTAGAACTGCCCGGCTAACCCAAAGCCACGTCTCTCAAATGCACCAGAAACCCTGAAAGAAAAAGACGGACAATCTTCCTCCTGGGCAAATTACAGTTTGGAAAACAGAGTGGATGAAGCTGCTACGAGCCCGTTCTCAGTTAAGCGCAATGAGTTGTCTTTGGCTTTTTGTTTCTCATTTGCCATTCCAGACTCTAGTTTAGTAAATAATAATTTGTGAAATATTAAGAGTCATAGTGAAATGTTTAGCATAAACTTTGATTAGACCTGAGGCATTTTCTTGGGCTTGCTCTTTTTTTAAAAAAAATAACAAAAGCAAACACTCATCCCTCTGTCTTGGTAGATAAAGTTGAAAGAAAAAAGAATGAGATCTGCATTCAGGGGAACATTTTTTCAGCTTATTCATAAGAAAAAGAATATAATTTTTAGTCCATTCTATTTTTTCTATTATCTATAGTGAAATATTTAGCCATTCATAAAAACATGAGCATTTATATTAAAATACAACCTTAAATAGAGTCCTGTAATTTTCACCAGGAGCTTTGTAAATTATGATGAATATACATGCATGAATATTAAAACAAACTAAAAAAGACCATTCAACAGTCAAATAGAAATGCAGCATTACAATACAATATAATAAATAGCCAGGATGTGACATCCACAAATTGATCATAATTCTGACTTAGATTCTCTTTTCCCCCGGTTAAGTAGTATACTGTATAATTTATTATAATAACTTTACAAGTTAAGCACAACTAACATGAAAAGTAAATCCAATTAATTTGACTATCGAACTAAAATGATTCTCAAAATTTTGCAGCATATCTTAATCTATAACATATAAAACTATCATTTTGGCAAAGAATACACTTCCATATAATTACCCCAATAACTTCTTTCAATGTTAAAAAAAAGTCAGAGTGAACAGTATAAAAAACAGAAGCTAATCTTATTTCAGAGATTATTTTATTACCTTGGCCCTTAGGCTTTGGCAATAAATGTCTTCAGCTTTAATATATTCCATAAGTTAAATACTGTATTATCAAAATAGAGAACTTTTTATTTGCAAAATACTATACAAAATGGTGGCTTGGCACATTTAAAGGGGTGCTTTTTCCTTACAATGTTCAGAGTCCTCTAAATTTTGTTTTCTATCTAGCTGTCACTTTTCCACATGACTTTTGACCCCTCTCTGATCCCAGCATCTCAGAGCTGGGTTTTTAACAGTGCAAGCTGGTTTTCGATAACACCAGGCATCTAGACAGTAAAGATGGCGGTACACCTTGCTGGAGATTTTCTAGGTAAATTCTGACAATTAAAAGGCCCTCCAAATCCAAATCACCCATTTCGGTTTACACATTTTGTTCCTTCCCTTTTGTCCTGAAACATCTCTCACAAATATCTTTTAAGGGATACTGTGTCACTTAGGAGTCCTCCTTCCAGCTACCCTTTTGAAGTTTAGCAATGAATGAATAAGCTTGACTTCTTGAAACTTCTCAAGCTCTTTTGTCTGTTTGCATCAATACTTTGGGTGATGTTTTCATCCAAAATACTGAGAGTAAATGAGATCCATGTCTGTCTCTATTCTACACTGCTACAAAAGGTGCCATTTAAAAATACCCAATATTCACCCACCATCGCTGAGGATCTCTTCTGAGCACAGGACCTGGTCTTACAGCATAAAGATGCTCTATTCTTTTTTGCTTTAAAGACAATTTATCTCCCTTCTTTGTCAATACATATGCCCCAAAACACCAAAAAGATGAAGCCGCATCTTTTCAAACTCCAATACCAAGCAAAGGTGTGATTGGCTACCCATCACGTGAGCTCTGAGAGGCACCAGGATGGGGGAATGCCCACACAGAACTTGGCATGAGTCTTGCACAGCGGGCCATCCTGGGGCTGGGTTTGCCCCTCCATGTGCCTGGGGAGTCTTGGCCGGGGCAGTTACTTGCAGGTGTGAACATCAGTCATGCTCTCGCACCTCCTGCAGCGGACGTAGCAGCACCAGATGAACTTGCACTCACACCTCTCCACGTGGCGCACCACGTGGGTGTTGTAGCCTCGGCCACAGCAGAGCAGGTTACAGCCATCGGCGCCCTCGGACGTGCGGTTGCACTCTCTGCCCTGGGTCCCCGGGATCCCCAGCGTCTTATCCTCCACACAGTAGTTGGGGGATTTGTTCATGTACAGCAGATCCTCCTTGTGGATAGGGACCTTCCTCTGATCTTTTTCTCTCCTGCGTATTTTCCTCTTGATTTTGTCTGAGATCTGAATGCTGTTTTCATATTTATCCTTCAACAAATGGCCAATCTTCTCAAAAGAAGACATCGTTTTCCAGCATGTTCTCACAGCACAGGAGCCCGAGACCCCATGACAGCGGCAGTCCACGGACATTAACTTGGCCACTGCCTGAAACCAACAAACAGCAGCTGTGTTCAAACTTCGTTCACCAAGTGCTTCCATCTACAGCAGAACTATGTCAACACAATATTACAGATCTCTTTTCTCCTGTGTAAAAATGAAGAGTTTAAACTCATATCCTGTAAATACCCCCATTTCCATCTGATTGATTCTGATTAATAGTTACCCTATAGGTCAGAGTAGAACTGCCTGATAGGTTTCCAAGGTTCTCTATTCTGGGGTGGAGTGTCAAATATTTCTCCTTCCATGGAGCTGCCTAGTGGATTCTAACTACCAACCTTCTGGTTAGCAGCCTGGTGGTCAACAGCTACATCACCAGACTCCCTTTTTAAAATTTCTAGGATTCTATTCTGCTATTATTTTGTTCCCCTTTAAAACATCTATGAGGTCACTTGGATTCAAATGTTTTGTGTTTCGCTTGATGTAAGGTCTAAGCTGATCTTTTTTTATCAGATATTATCTGTGATAAGTGAAGCAGGTTATTTTTATCGCCAATCCTCTGTGTAATTTGGGGGGAGGGAGGACGCTTATGCTCCCCTATTGCTGACCTTCCTGCTCCAATATGAAGTTTAGGCACAGCCGAGATGGGCCATAAGGATGGTCCGGGACTGGGCAGGGATTCCTTCTGCTGTGCCTAGGATCGCTAGGAGTCAGTGAGGCAACACACCTAACAAAAACAACAACAACAACTCAGAGTGTGGCCCGTGGACCAGCAGAACAATTGCCCCTTGGTAGAAATGCAGACTGTCAGACACCACTCCAGGCACAGCCTCAGATGCTGCAATTTATCAAGATCACCAGGTGATGCTTCTGAGAAGCAAGAGTTGTCACCGTAACTCTCACCATGCACAGAAACGCTTGGAGAAGTCTGGCCATGAACCGACCTGCGAATGCCTGAGATTCTGACTTAAGTGGGCTGGGCAATGATCCTTAAGCAACAAACAAACAAAAGCTACTCAGATAATCAGCTAGGAGGGAGCTCTACTGACCAAATTGAGAGTTCCTGGTTTAAGTGGTGTAAATACAAAGTCATTACGCTCAGGGGGAGGCTGGAACTCAATGTCCACCTTCGCAGACCACATGAGAAACCCTGACTAACAATCTGAATTTGGTCAACAGGAGAGAGGACTGGGATGTGGGCTGGCTCTCAGCAAATTCTTCCCCTCTTCCCGAGAAGAAATTCAAAACACATATCCTACCCTTGGTGGCTCAGTAGCACCATCCTGATACAGAAACGGGGTAATAGTTATGTAATTATGCAATTCCAAGTATTGAGTTTAGCTCTGCCAATCTGAAGAGTGAGATTTTATATATATTTATTTATAACAAACAGCTCACAGCCTGATAATACACCAAGATGTAAATAAATATCCCCTTTCTCGGAAAAGAAAAGACAGAGTTGAGATAATCTTTCAAATGGGACTAACGAACGGTGTGAAAACAGTATAGAGATTTCATGTTCCAGCGCTCTGGTCTCTCCCATAGCAGGCTCGCCAGCATAGCTTCCTTCTGTCCCCAGAGGATGGCAGAGCAGATTAATAAATCGTCAGGACTAGCTGTAGAGTTGATGTCCTGTCAACATGCTGGGTTAAATGAAAAATGGATCTATCCATTCAATATCTTGGAAGGTATGTGCGTAATCTCACCAAAGAAAGGGGAAAGCACGCAGCTTAAACTCCACTTCGAGTTCTTATCACAATTCTTAAAATGACAGGGATTTACAGTTTCCTAGTTTGTACTAAACCTAATACTGACCTGTGTTAGGTTACATTTTCTAACAAATTAACACGGTTTTCTGAATTATCAAAAGAGACAGAATATCTTAAGCAATTTCTAATACTTACAGCCCCAGATGAGAGCAGATGGTATTGATTTGTGCAAGGCTTGATACATCCTAGTAGTGTTTCAAATAATAAATGGGCTATCAAAATCCTGTCCTTAATAGAAGATGTCACCTGGGCTCATTACGAATTTGCAAACTTGAGAAGCTGATAGATGTATCTATTTCTTAATAATCTGAGCAAAAAGCGCTATCAGAAAGTGTAGAAAGGGATCAAAACAATTTCTAAAATCTGACAGGTAGGGTAATTTGGTTAAATTTATGACATTTGAGATTCATCACGCCCCCAGTTCTTTGAAAATTCTCCAGACGTTGAAAACATTCAAACGAATGCAAACTGCCTAACTTTGTTCAGACTGTGCTCGTCTGTAGTACAGGCTAAACTGGGCAATATTGCAAGTTCAGCTCCAGACCACTGTAATAAATCGAATATTGCAATAAATCAAGGCACATGGAAATAAATCGAGTATCGCCATAAATCAAGCCCCATGAATTTTCTGGTTTTGCAGTGCATACAAAGGTTATGTTTTCACTATGGTCTATTAACTGTGCAGTAGAATTCTAGAAAAGTTTTGAGATCTTGTGAAAATTAACAAAGTATGACACAAGAGCACGAAGTAAGCACGCACCAGTGGAAGAACAGCGCTGGCAGACTTGCTCAGTTGAGGCTCCCACAAACCTTCAATTTGTGAAAAAGACTATCTTTGAAGTGTAATAATGCGAAATGCAATAAAATGAGGTATGTCGGAATATGCACAAAAAGGAGCTCATACACTGGAAAGTAATAAAATTAATTGTCCAAAGAAAGTGAAAGAAAAAAAAAAATCTAAGAACGCACATAATCTGTGCTTAAGTGCGAGTCACGTTCCTAACAGTCATACTTTGGGATTTAAAGCTGTCTCTCTCGATGACTGAGAGTTTTTCTTAAGCAGGCCAGAAAGAGCCCTGGTGGCATAGTGTGCTGGGCGTTGGACTGCTAATTGAAAGGGTAGCTATGAGCGAGAGAGATGAGCAGACCACCCCTCTATGACTTACAACCCGGGGAATGCGTGATGAGACATCTCCAGGAGTCAGAATGACTCAATGGCAGTGGGTTTGGGGTTTTTTTTGAACCAGATCAGAAGTCTCCTAAGGTGCTGACAATCTGTAAAATATGAGGGACTAAGTGGAATTCACCAGGATTGATTAAATGCTAAAGTCAACTTTACATGAACACGTTTCAGCAAGCCTTTGTGGCTGACCTGCATAGGAGGAAGTAATCAATATGACCATTTAACCATCTCAGCACTAGATGGGAAAGCTGAAGCCAGGCTAGTTCTCCCCTGATTCCTCATGCACACAAGTGTAGGTCCACAGAGTCCCCACTGCCTTGCAGTTTTGAAAAATAAGAGAGAAACCCACTTTGTAAAACTCATTTGTCATCTTCTGAATTTGTAATCCAAAAGGGACTCTCCTGCCAAAGCGATCTAACTAACCCCTTTAGACACTTGAAGATTAACTATAATCTTCCAGAGAAGACAGCTGTTCAAAGCTTTATACCTTTACCTTTAAATTCTAAATATCCTTACCAATGAATCTAGGAAAAGAAACAGTATTTTTACTGTATTTAAAGAAGCAGGAGTCGCATCCACTTCCTAAACAACATGCCTCCGGAAACTCTATGAACTTTGATAAATGTTGATAGTTGTAGAGGGGCTTCAGACTTTTTGTTCATAGGGGTGCTATGACTTGTGCTTGACTTGAAGGCAATCAACAACAACAACAACAACATATTTAATGATAGTATGAGAAAGGAATTTTAAGGAGCAGAGAGTCCTATTAACCAGACATGCAATTTGAATGACCTTTTAACACTCCAAGAGAGAAGTTGGATCAAAAGAAAGCAATGTAACTGTTATGATGTAATTATCACCAAGATTATTTAACTGACATAGAAATTCAAGGTGGGGACATACACACACACACACACACACACGCGCGCGCGCGCGCGAGTTTAATTCTACAGAATGTAGTACTTTGCAAAGCACAGCTGTAATTTTTTCTCTGATTTTATAACAGGAAGAACCACTTTGCACATGTATTTTGCTGCTTTTGTCGTGTGTCTTCTGCCTGGTTCCAATCCCAACAATCCTACAGGAGAAAGGCTTTCATCTTTACGATGGTAGATCTAGCTGCTGGAGGTTTGAACTGCCAAACTCCTGGTGAGCAGCCAAGTGCCTCACTGTTACGGCACTGGACTCCTCTTGCCTTGTACATAGTAGACGGTGATAAGTGTGTTCATCCTAGTTTTTCAATCTGACAGTGAAACAGTGGTTGAGACACTTGTTTTACGTCAGACAAGTTGGCGATTTATGAAATTTAGCTTTGAGATACAGGAGAATAATTTTAGCAGAGAGAAAGAGCGAGAAAAAGCAAAACCTTGAAAGTGGAAAATACAAGTGTACTTAAGGAAATTGCATGGAGACTCCGAAAAAAAGTAAACTGTGGAGTTTTCCAGGGAAGGTTCTTAATGAATGTGGAACAGCCACGCTGAAGAGAGGAGATGCCACAGCCGTCTTCAGTAACAGGAAAAGTAAGAGAATAGCAATGAAACGAGTTGTGTGTGGTTATGAGCAAATTCCTTTCTCTGCTCTTGTTGAGTTGTTAAGGTTTATAACGATATTAACAGAGGAATGTTGTGTTAACTATTGCAAACAGATGTGCACATTTTGGTAGAATATTTTCAAACTATGAGAGAATCGTTAGGAGGGTGGCATTTAAATCTACCCAGCTTGGTTTGATAGATTTTGAACGAAGTGAAATAGGAAGGCTGCATGATTAAAACTGAAGTCTTTGATATACAAAATATATTTTATGTAAAAATGAAAAACAGCTTTGCGAATTGGTCTAAGTCCTGAGGCTTGGAGTTACTGCGTTTTGACTTGGAGTTATTGCAGCGGGTGGCAAAATGTTTTCCAGTATCTTGCTGTATCCAAACTTGACAGATCTGGCCAGCAAGCTGTTGTGTAATGCTTTGTGACTAACATTTCATTTTGTCAACTATCAGATGATCTGTTTAAGTTTTTAATGAATACAGCGACATGCGGTCGCATGGTTGCAGGGTCGAGCATAGAATTCCTATTCCTCTTGAACCATTTTGGTCCCTTTCTGTCCAAAAATATATTTTAACCTGCTGAGAAGCAACACATGTGTGTGTTGTTCAGCTACTTAGAAGTACACTTGAAACAGGTCAATGAAAATTTGGGGTCGAGTTCTTCCCACTTTTCCGGGTTACTCATCATAGAACAAATTATGGGGTAGGAAAACTTAAAAGTTTATGAGGTGGACATGGGAAGAATGGAAATATTTTAAGCACACCAAAAGAAATACCCATAAATATTCCAAGTCACATTATTCCCAGAAGTTCTGCCCCTGGAAGACATCGCATCATTCTGTCAGCCAATCGCCATCCAGCAACATTATTCTTGGAGTCATAACTTTAGGAATGGTGTCAGAAACCAAGTGGGATTCGGAGTATTTAAGGTCAGCGGTTAGAAAATCATCTATCCTTCTCATAGCACCACTAAGCGCCAGTACCCACATTTCTCTGAACGCTTTCCTACATTTTGAGTTTGGGGATTTTGAGACTAGGAAAATCAACTCAATTGAATGCAGACCTTGAACTTTACTCAAAAGAGAATGCCTATTAGATTAAAATCCTAATTGCCAATACTGAAAACGGAGTTGATTGTTCTTCCACTTTAGATAATAACCTGGAAACCTAATTTTCCCCTTCTACCAATGGAAAGAAAAATAGAGAAATGTTTTGAATTGTCATATTTCATAAGAAAAGACCAACAAAAACACCCCTGTAGGACTCTAAAAATATCCAGGTAAATATTTTGTAATGTTTTAAGGTTCCATCTAAAACAGTTTGGGCAGGGGGAAGCTTCAGCTGAGAAAAACTGAAACATACTTAGCATTGTGTAGATATAGATAGGTTCCATTTCCCCCCCTTATAAATTTAGAATGATAATAATTAAAAAAACCCAGGTAATGTGAAATTTTTTCCCCAAAAAAGAAGTGGAGTAAAATGAATGTTATGCCTTTTGAATATAATTAGAATATAAATAATAGTTTTCAGCAAGAGATAACAATTATAGAGGCAAGCATTGCCACCTGATTTAAAAAAAAAAAAAGACAAAACAGAATAAAGTAGTTGCTTAATATTGGTAATAAAAATAAATTTTAGAATACCATAAAGATTCTCATCATTTCAGAGGTGGCTTTATTTACAAAGAATTAGTCATAGCATAAGTTTCCAAGTTTTGTTTTCTGATTAATTCGATAGAAGTCTCTAGTAGTAGACTGTTAAAGAAGGGCTGACAAAGATGGAAGGTGTATATTAATAAAGCATTCATCTTGTCATTTAATAAATTTTAGCTTGATATATTTTGATGTTTGTCTACAGCTTAACTCTATAGTTAAAACTCTATAGAAAAACCTGTGATAATTATATTTAGCCTTTTTAGAAATATACAAGAGACAATAAAATGCTATTTTATTTAATATTTAAATTGATGCAGCAATTCATTCGTTTAGTTTACTTCAGAAGTGGAAGAGAAAGACCCATGAGTATAAATAATCATGGTGTTAAGGCAAGAAAGCTGATTTTTCGTGAGTTGGAATCAATGAAAATTTCTAAACAATATTATGAAGCCCTTCCATAGCTACCCACTCATGCTCCTATTTACTTTCTGTTTCACTGTTGTTAGCTGATACAAGCGTTGAGGTGATAGATTTTCTCTTTAATAGCAGAGCAGTATAAGTGAAGAAAGTGAGCTGAAACCTACAACTATCCTGAATAAGTTCCATTTATCCCCTTCCCCAAAAAATGTAAAAAAAATTCAGTATATACTTTAAATATTCCTGAGAGATGCTATAACTTGTTTCAATTTATTTCAGGAGATTGGGGCAGGTTACAATGACTACTTTGGGACTGTTACAGCTTATTGGATATTTATAATAATATAGACTATGTGCTGATATTTCTGTTCTAAAAGAGTTATGACAACATTGAGAATATATATCCTCTAAAAGACATAACTGGTATAAAAGCCACTATGTAATCCAACGATGTAATGCAACTCAGCCAGTAATTCAACTGTGTCGTAGAATCCAAACTACACTGAGTCAATGGTAATTAATGAAAAGATAGACATTAAGTAAAGCCACAGATGTATTCTATTTTAGGAAAATTGAATGAGATAAGAATACATAAAAGAGATTAATTAGGTAGTAGTTCCTCAAATCTGAATCTCTTTTATATGCAATGTATCTATATTTTAAAATATCTACATATAAATTATGTCTGCTCTCTTTTTGTACACTTACTGGTAATTTATTCATTTTTGCAATAAAGTTACAGCACTATATAATAAAATAGTTATGTTTATTCAAAAAACTTGGTTTAGGAAAAAAATCCTAAAAATCTACAAACTCACTGCCATTGCTTTCAACTCAAAGCAGCTCTGGAGGATGGAGCTGAACTGTCCTCAGAGCTTCTTAAACTGTAAATCTTTGTGGAAGGAGACTGCCTCACCGTTCTCCCGTGGCATGGCTGGAGGATTTGAAGAGCCGATCTTTTGGTTTGCAGCCACGTGCTATTTAACTAGTGCACAATACTTAGTGCATTCAAGGACTGTAGCTAGGGGAAGTATGGACGAAACATGAGAGCACATCCCGAGAGACCTGCTCAGGAGGAAAAAACCCAACCAAAAAGATGTGAAAACTAATCAGCACTTAAAGTTGAGAGAAATGTCTTTGCAGTGAGCACCAGGAGAAAAGCAGACACTGTAGATTTTAGTTGCACTAAACAGGGAAGGGACTGGAACCAGGTAGCCCAAGTGATGCCTCCACATCTATTATTTTACCATTAATATCACGCGTATATAAGGTATACAAGCATTCTACAACACGATTATATGTCTATCAGAAGAACTTAAACTAAACCAATGTCACATACACACACACACGGATACATTTAATTCTTGGACTGCAAGTTCAGGGTATTGAAACTGTTTGAATAGGTTCACCCAGAAGTGCAACTCTAGGGTTGGAAATGGACCTAAAGATGCTGACATTTTGGACTTCTCCTCCTAATACATACCTGCCTTCCAGCTTCGTTGTTGTGAAGGTTCATTGCTAACAGAACTTTGCTTTCTTTCCCGGAGGTGTTTCTGAGCGGGAAGTCGAGGAACTTTCTGCTGAACCACATGCCATACTGGACGTCATCCGAGCAGCCCCCCCAGTGCCAGCCTTCAGTCGCTGAGCCCCCATTCTGCAAGGAGGTGTCACAGGAGCATTCGGTCATGTTGCCTGCACTGCATGACCTGGTCACAGCATGCACCAGGCCAGCTGCCATCACCGCATGGATGAAGGCTGTTTCCTTGGTGCCTGGATGAAAACAGACCCGGGTAAGCCAAAGTGCCTGCACTCAACTCGGAACAAAGCCTCCTCTTATCAGAAAAGCCATTTCCAAACTGTTTACAAGGGGTGCTTTGAGTAGTACACATTGATAAAAAGACATTTCTTGTCCTAGTATATATTTTTTTTTTAAATTTTAAAGCAACATTACTTTTCAAGAGTCCCTGTGCCATTGTATTAATGCTTTTATTCACACATTAATACCATTATTCATGAATGACCATGTCCTCAGGCATTCGAATCTTCTGCTTATTTACTTAAATTTGAACTCTCTGCCTGCTCCTAGCTCAGCACAAAATATGCAGACACAGCTCAATAAATATCTCTTGAGTGTGAAATCCTTTGCATGGAGACCATACATGTAATACGACTCCAAAAGGAAGCCATGTTACCTTTTGTGTAAAATATGAAATATGTTCTCACCAAACAACAGCTGGGGAATTTCGTGAGATTTTTGTTTTCAAAACCTATATTAAAAAAAAACCAAAAAACCAGCACAGCCACAAAAAAACCCTCCAACACACCAAACACAGAATACAGACGAAAAGGGCACAAAGTTGAAAGCAATTCGGAAATAAAAGGCAGTTACTCTCACATGGTAAGCTCGTCTTCTTTTAGAATCCCAAGAATCACAATTACTGATGTTTGTATAAAGCCAGGTAAATAACCCAATATTAAAGGCAGCAAAAGGTAAAATAATTAAAGTGTCACTAGCCAAAAAAGAATGAGGAAAAATGTTGAATATTGAGAAAGATGTGTTTAGCACACTTAGTGTAGGGCTTGAACTCAAAGCTTTGAAAAATAACGGTCCATTAAAACATTAATAAAATAGAAGCGACTCAGCGGTTGGGCGAATGTTTTGTTTTGATTTTTTTTTTTTTCTCGCGCAGAGATATTTGGATTGGAGTGGAAACAGTTTCACGCCCGTTGCCCAGTAAACCTTTTCAACAGCTGATGAAGCCTCTGCGTTTCAGCAAATGTGAAGAGTACTCTTTTTATTTTTTAATTCTGCAGGAGGTCCCGGTTCCTTGCTTTGGAAGGATGGGCCAGGCCAGAAAGCAGCTGGAGGGGTAAGTGGCTTTGTGGGGTGCCTGTAGCGACCCAGCAGGGAGCAAAAGGTCAGAGGTACAGAGAGAAGGAAACGAACTTGAAAATTGACAACGAACTTTCCAGTCCCAGAGCTCAATCTCCTCCTGGTTTTGCATCAGCCCTGCCTCCCTGCACCTTAAACCCCATCCAGTCACTGTGCACATGGAAGCGAAACTCCAGCGCAGCGCGGCACAGAGTCCTGAGCCGGTGCGCGCCCGGAGGAAGGTAGGCAGGACAGAGCAGCGAAGCCACGGACACAGGGTCCACAGGTTAGCTGCATTTAACCTGCCGGCGGACATCTCTGAACAATCGCCATCTCCCCTGAGCTCCAAGGAGCCTGCAAACGTGCCGCTTCGCTGCAACGCTGCGCTCGGAGAGCAGCAAGCTGCTTAAATCAAAGCAGATGCAGCAGGGTTCTCGGTGTTTCTCCAGCTGGTCAGAGTAGGGGGGGCGCTCCAAGGTCCTGGGGGCTGCGGGTGTAGGCGAGTCAGAGGTTCCCGACTCGGCAGGGCGCTGCTGGCAGGAGGAAGCGCCACAGCCCTGGGCGCCCTGCTCTGCACCCTCCTGTCCTCCTGCCCCACACCTGCAACCTGACTCTGGCCCAGGCCTCGACCACCCTCGTTCCCAGCCATCCCACCCCTGGCATTAGGGCTCATAGGGGCCCATTTCTATTCCCGAAGAGTCTATGTGGCTGCACAGAACTGCTCCACTGGGTTTTCTACCCTGTAACACTTTATGAATGCAGATCGCCAGGTCTTACTCCCGCGGCACCTCTGGGGTGGGTTCAAAGCACCCACTTTTGTTTGGCAACGGAGCACTTAATGGAGAGCACTCCTAGAGTTCCTTTCCTGCTTAGTAAGTGGCTCCTTTCGGGGGTTTACAGAGCTGGGACCACCCGAGAGGAACTGGGGGAGCAGTCGCCAGCCCCTCGGGCTCCAGGACTCACCACTGCTCAGCTCATAGCCGAAGACCGGGCTGGTGGAGGCCGGGGCAGCGGTGACCACGCAGTTCCATCGCTCGTGCCTGAACTGGCTCCTGCACTCCTGGATGCCCAGGCGCGCGCCCTCGCGGATGCTGGGCAGCAGGTAGGGCTTCCTCTTACACAGCTCTTTCTGGCGGCTGTTCAGCGGCAGGTTGGCGCAGCCCAGCTTCTCGGGAACTCCGAAGGAGGCGATGCCCAGCCACCTGTAGGGCGCAGCCGTCCGCAGCGTCAGCGCGCCCTCCTTCCTTTCCCGATCCCAGAGGACCCCCGCAAAATCAGATCAAACCCCTGAGGGTCCCCGTCCCTCCTCTCCAGCTCAGCTGGAAGTCCTTGGGGCATGGATGGCCACCCCTAAGCCACCTTACCCCTTTGCCCTCAGTGGCCCCATACTCACATCCAGTTTCCTTGAGCCCCGCAGGGAAAGAGCGCCAGCAGGGCTACCCACAGCGCGCACAGGCGGGGCAGGCCCAGGAGCGCCGCTCTGTCCATGGCCCCCGCATGGAGTCCCCAAGCCCCGGCCGCTCCTCGTCCGCCTTCCCCGCCCAGGTCCGCAGGGCCAGAGGTCAGGCTCAGGAAACTAGCTGTCCTCACTCTCTTCTTCCCTTCATATAGCATGAAAACAATTCCCGCTGTGCCTGGGGCTCTCAGCAGCCTCCCCTCGCTTGTGGAGCTCAGGGTGTGGGGTGGAGCGAGCAACCCGGGCCCTGCTCCTACAGGGTGCAGGAGAGGCTCCGGAGCGACCCGCGCATTCCAAGGTGAGAAACTTCTGTGGCTGGAGCTGCGTCTCCATCGCCCGGGGCTCTCCTCCCATCTCCTCCCCTTGGCTGCCCGGCTCCTGATTGGCGTCACAGCTCATCCTCCCGGACCCTCGGGTTCCCATTGGCTGGGAGCTGGCTCTGCAGGGGGCGCTTGGAGCTGGGGGCGCCCTGGAGAGCGGGTCCAGGACAGGGTGTGTCTCGACCTTTCCTTTTGTCCCCCCTTCCTGTTGTGGATCATCCTTGGAAGGGACTGATTCCAGCAGAAAATTGATGAGGGCGCTTCTGTTTTAGCAACTTTGAAGGCCCAAGTTTGGTGGAGATGCCCTTGACTTCCATCTGCCACAGCACCACTGAACATCCCTCTGGGTGGAGTGTTTAGGACAGTCTCCCCGTCCCACAACCGCTTTCCATCCTCCCCAGGGCTTCTCAGGCGAATGTATTTATTTATTTATAAGTTCAAATCTGTACCAAACCAACTGACCTTTCAACACTGTGTCAGGGCTTACTTGCTGCAGTCTTGAGAGAATGGACGGAATGATGTCTTAATTTACGTGTGCATTTGTTTTTAGGGGAAGGGAAACTGCCAGTCAAGTAGCTGATTCTACCATTAAATTAAATTAAATTGTAGTTTGTGACTGTGTTTTCTCTTGTCTTGCTTCATGAAGTCTTTGGTGGCACTGTCATCAGTCCCAGGAACAAGATGAAAGACAGAGAAAGAGCTTTCAGGAAAGTTCTAGGAATAGAGTTCTGGATAGAATAGAATTAGAATAGAATAGAATAGAATAGAATAGAATAGAATAGAATAGAATAGAATAGAATAGAATAGAATAGAA